CACGTTCGCAGTTGCACGCTGCTGCTGCATGCTTTCGCCTCCCGTGCGCTTCACGCTGCCTCTAGTGCAGCCCCCACTTGTTACATTACCTCCCCTCCCTGAAGGCACCGTCCTCGGTGCCAATGAGGCAAGATACACTCCAATGGCACGAGGAGCATGGCTGAGGTTGGAGAATGGCTCCCATGAATCTTCAGGTGCAGATGTGTTGCGCCAGTGAATGAGGTATTCACGGCCAACCGAAGTGTCACGGTGTGAGAGGATGGTGTCGACCTCATGCAGGTCCGGATGGGCAGAGAACATGGGTGGGCGGGGCTGGAATGGGTGAGAGGGAGTACGGTAAGGTCGAAGAAGGTGAACATGGAAAACAGGGTGTATGGTCCGTCTCCGTCACTGATTATGGCTGAGGGCAGTCCGTGTAGCCTCACCACCTCTGTGAAAAACAGCTTGGCAGTTTCAGCAGCAGTCACTGTGCCGGTTGTAGGGATGAAGTGAGCCATCTTGGACAGCTTGTCAATCACCACGAGAATGCTGTCAAAGCCTGTAGGGGTGCGGGGTAAGTCTGTGATAAAATCCAGAGAAACACAAGTCCAGGGGGCTGTGGGTATCTCCAATGGTTGCAACAGACCAGCCGGTGCAGTGGTGCGAGCCTTGTTGACCTGACAGGTAGGACATGAAGAAACATACTCTGCTACACTCCGGGACAGTCCAGGCCAGTAGTAGTCACGAGAAATGGCAGCATACGTCTTGTCACTGCCGAAGTGTGACCGATTGTCATGGTACTCGTGTAGTAGCAGCTGGCGAAGCCTGGAGTCATCAGGTACACACACAGCACCAGAATCTGCACGGGTCCAAAAGGGATTGCTGAAAAGAAAGGATGGGTCATGGGGGGCTTTCTGTTGGTACAGCTGATCACGGTTGTAACCACGGCTGAAACGAGTGATGAAGTTGCGGTCCCATGTAACCACTCCCATGACATTCAGCTCCTCTGCTGCTGGCCGTGACAGAACATCCACCGGATTGAAGCGCCCTGGTTTGTACACAATCTGAAGATTGGGAACGTACTGCTCCAAAAACTGAACCCACCGCGCCTGCCTTGGTGTGATCTGTGACTGTGTTTTCGGGTACTCCAGTGTTCGGTGATCAGTGAAGACTGTAACGGGCTGCATCTCCACATAACAGCGCCACTTCTTCAGTGCATGCACAACAGCAAGTGCCTCTCTCTCGTGAATGGGGTATGTGCGCTCTGCAGCAGTGAGCTTGCGTGACTCAAAGGCTATTGGCTGCAGCCCAGCTTCCTGCTCCTGGCAGAGAATTGCTCCAAGAGCAACGTCTGATGCATCACACCAAATGAAGTATGGGAGTTCTGGATTCGGTACTGCTAGGGCAGGGGGTGAAGTAAGAGAAGTTTTGAGCAGCTCAAAAGCCTGCTGCTGCGATGGTCCCCAACTGAATGATGAGTCCTTCCGTAAGAGATCGGTCAGAGGTGCTGCCACTGCTGCAAATCCCTTCACAAACCGCCGGTAGTAGTTAGCTAACCCCAAGAAAGCCTGCACCTCCTTCGCTGTACTCGGCTGCTTCCACTCCTTCAGGACTGCTACCTTGCTGTTGTCTAATTCCAGCTTCCCATGCGAAATGACAACTTGAAGTGTGATGGGCAAGTGGAACAAGCTCACGGCACTTAGGCTTGTTCAAGTTGTTTCTGGCTGAGAATTCTTCCCAAGAGAATTTCCTTAGAAGCAAGGAAGAACAAACAGAAAGAGAAACAGCAACTACTCTCTAATTCCTACGAATGCATTTTTATATGTACAGTACATTTACAATTCAGACATGCGGCTCAGAATGTCGATTCGGGTGGCCAGCCCTAACATCGAGCCGCATTCCATATTTCTACTCACGTTTGTACACCTCACTGCACCCACACACGTGTTACATTTCTATTCCTCCAAGTCTAGACTTTCGCCACCTGTCCCACGCGGAAGTCCCCCCAAGTCAGTCAAGGCACGAAACCTCAGTTTCGCCCTTCTCACGTGGGTCCCCCACGTCCTGCTCACTTCCGCCCCTTTGCTGCCCACGTTCGCAGTTGCATGCTGCTGCTGCATGCTTTCGCCTCCCGTGCGCTTCACGCTGCCTCTAGTGCAGCCCCCACTTGTTACAGCAAGCACGCGTAAATTGAGAGGGATTAGGGAATATCGGGGAGATTTCTATCATGTTGCAAAACGACTTGCATGCTGCTGCATTCTCAAGGTCAAGTTGTCTGCTCAAGCTGCTAAGGATCATGTGTTGGATGAGAATCACGAATCTAAAGAATCATGGATCGTGCCAAATGGCACATCCGGTGTGCCCCTTGGCTTTGATAATCCGCTGCCATGCCACGATTGGTGCCACTAAGACTATCTTGTGCATGAGGTTTTGATAACTGGAGCGGCATGAGCTTGAACAACGAGACACGGGAAACATATCAGGGCACAAAGAAGGGGAGCATAGCAGCTGCTGCAGTTTTCTCCTGCTACTCTCTTCAGAGGAAAATTGGTGACAAACCCCTACGAGTGCTGGACAAGTTTGAGGCTGAAACCTGAGCAGATTGAAACTGCTCTACACCCATACCTAAGCAAAGATAGAGGTTGAATCCACTCTACACACATTTCGACAGGCAAGAAGGCCATGGACAAGGCAAGGAAGGCAAGGTGTCGGCAGGTTCCAGCCACATCTGAAATGTGCCAACTGTGTGAAGGAAGCCCCAGCGGGCAGGATAAACTCTTTAAGCACTTGATCTTAAACCTCCATAGAAAACTGCGAGGGCAAGGTAGTATCTGCTACCTAGGCCCTCTAGCTACGGTTACGACCGAAGGTGTCTTTGCGTTGTATGATGCACTTTCACCTACAAAAAACATAAATAAAAAGCTTGAACAGACTTTGTTGGTACGTTATTTCTGTTGGTGTTTCCACTGCTTCGCACTGCCCGTGACACGATCACAGCTGAGCTGAAATGCGCTCCGCGTCATCGTGGTGACACCTGAGTGTTCCTGCTGGAATGCTCCAACTAACGTCACCAAGACTACATAAGACATGAAAGCTATCAGGGCAATAAATACATGAGAGAGGGTGGGGGTCGAGGGCAGGGGGGGCGCCTCGGGGGACCAACTGAACGCCAACTTTAAGTTCGTCTAGTACTAGAACGAACCTTGGGAGGCTGCAAACGGGACACAGCGGATGGGAGAAACCACAGCGAGAAACGTCAGAAAGAAGAGTAAGCGGAGTGGAATGATGCGTCCCGCGCCTTCCGTTGCCATCGTGGTGCGGCAAGCTTCCACTAAACCCTGAATTAGTAGTAATTTTAATCGCTTGTGAATCTGTGCGTAATCAGTAGCAGTGGTTCTAAGCGTCAATAGAAACGCGTAAATACTTGTGGACGGTAAATAAAGAAACTACTGTATGATGAGAGCCTACTCGTAGAACCTGGAGTGCAGACGACATCAAGTTATGATGAGGAATCCATGAAAGTTAGCTTGAAATGAAGCTAGAGGAAAAGAGAGTGGCAGGAGGAGGTGAGGGTTGGGGATGGAAGTCCACTTTCTTGCCAAGATCGCTTTGCAATTTCCCATGTGCCTGCGACAGGCCAACATAGCTGACGAGCGTCAAATTCGCGAGTTGCGGCAAATGCGAAAATATCGTCAAGTTGCCCTGCTCTGGCGAATTCCAAGGCGATACGAGTTTCGGTGGTGGCGTTTTATGCCAACAGGGCGCGTCGAGCCACCGAAAATCTCGCCAGGTCTGCGAGTCAGAAAGATAGGACAGCGCTCCCTGTTTGACGAACACGACCTCTTCATTCGCTCGCGCAATAACGGAGCGAAACAAACAAAACCCACACGACTACTACAGCAAATGACGAATGATTCTTCCAGCATACCTTAAGCCTACAAACATGTTTGGAAAATCGAAATATGGTATAAACGACCCGCGCCTGGTGACATGGTGAGCTCGCCGCTCATTCCGCGACCTACCTTACCGCGACCTAGAACTGTAAAGTGGTCGCTAGGCTAGTGATAAGGTAGATTTGACATACAGTTGACGGTTCAACAGAATGGGCCTCTAATAGCCATGATTGCTTCATCTGCCCTTCTTCCGTAACTTCTCTGATGTAATTTCGAAGGATAGTCGAAACCGGAACGTCACTTTGCTGGATACCGTATGAGCTGACTTAGCAATAGCACTAGTAACACTGCTCACCGCAATCCCTAATGTTTTCCATGCGATGGCAAGTCGAGCGAGGGTCACGTGCGTCGCTAGCTGCTCCGTGAGCGCCGAGAAATTCCGAATGGCCTACCAGTTGTAGCGCCACGCGTATTGAGAGAGGCGGCGTCACGAGCATCGCAGGCATCGCAGCGAGTCGAATGGCGTCAATTGACGATCAACGGAACCGTCAGCTTGCCTTTGCTGAGAATTTTCGAGTCATAATCGTTTCGATGCTGCTTGGGGGGATTGTGTTCCCCCCTCTTTGCTCCTCTTCCCATGCATGTTCCCCCTGCTTCGCACCAACGTTTGCTGTTTCATTCTGTGCTTTGTTGTGCGTTCCATTTCTTATGTACCCTGCTCTCCTCCTCCCCCTCCCCTTCTCCCTGTTTCCCCTTTCTTTCCCCTCCAATCCACCTGCCTTCCCGCCTCCTCATTTCTTCTCCCCACTCCCTCCCCCCTCCTTCATGCGACCTGCCATCCTCTCACGGGCCACGACAACCTGCTGGAGAGGATGGCAGGATTGCAGGATGGCAGGGCGACAGGGCGGCAGCCATGCACCACTCGCGTTTGCAGTGGGTCCGCGCAGCCATGTCGATCAGAAAACCATGTCGTCGCCTTAGCAACTGACCAGACGGCCTTAGCGTTCTGTCAAGTGGCCGTCGGCATTGCCTTCCTCATCGTCACTTTCAGCACTGGTGGGAGAATTGACTTCTCCCGACCTCCTCCTCTCCCCTGCTCTTCAAGGAAGCGCGTTCTCCCGCGGTTAGATGACTGACGCCTTCCTCGAGGTGGGTGAGAGGGTTGGGGAGAGGTGGGCGCGGGAGAGGGGAGTTGTGGGTGCGGGGATAGGGCTGGGGGGTAGTTGGGAAGGGGCTGGGAGATGGTTAGTCGTGGAGGGGGGTGGGGGTGGGGATGGGGGAGGGGGGGGAGGGGGGGGGGGGGTGAGGGGGCATGGAGAACGAAAGAGGGTGTTCCCGCGACGAGATCGGACGGCTTCCTCGAGGTGCGGGAAAGGGGCGGGGAAGGGGTGGGCGTGGGGGAGGGGAGATGTGGGGGCAGGGAGAGGGCTGGTGGCTGGGAGTGGGCTAGGAGAGGGGAGAGGGGGGGGAACAAGAGGGGAGGGGGAGAGTAGGGAGAGGGGTGGAAGGCATGGACAAAGAAATCGGGTGCGTTCGCAACAAGATTGCAGACGCATTCCTCGAGGTGCGCCGCGGGAGAGGGGGGGAAGGAGGAGAGGGGGGGGGGGGGGGGGGGGGGGGGGGAGGTGGGAGTGTTGGGTTGGTTGGTGATGAAAGTGAGAGGGTTGTGCAGCGAGGAGAAATGAGTGACGACGGGGATTGCTAGCAGTCGTTTTTCGCTCGAGTCCCAACCCAACCCCTCTCTCTTCTCCACTCTCCGCCACCCGTGCTACATTTATCGCTCAAGTGTGCACACATTGTGCGACATCCCCAAACCTTGGTCTCCCTGCCTGTTCCCCTCTGCGCCCTTCCCACTCTTTCCGCCTTCCTGAAGGTGCACCGGGGAAGATGTGTGAGGACTTGTGCCAGCAGTAGCAGACGGCATGTTGCTGCGCAAGCTTGGTTTGGGTTGTCTCAAAGCAACCAGGCCTTTTCTCTCCCCTCTGTGCCTGACAACCTCCGTCACCCTGCCCCTCCGTGTTCCCGTCTCCACCCCCCACCCCCCCCCCCCCCCCCCCCCCCCCCACTGCAGGTGTGTGTGTGAGTGTGTGTGTGAGGGCTGTGTGCCAGCAGACTGCATGGTGTTGTGCAAGCTGGTGTCGAGTCGTCCCCTCCTCTCCCCCAACCCCCCCCCCCCCCCCCCCCCCCCTCTTCTGCCCCCTTTCACCCCCGCCAAGTGTGTGAGGAGGACCATATACCAGCAGTAGCAGATCGCATGGTGCTGCGCAAGCTGGTTCCAAGTTGACCCCTCCTCCCACCTCTTCCCCCTTTCTCCCCCCGCCAGGTGTGTGAGGACGTGTACCAGCAGACCGCATCATGGTGCTGCGTAAGCTCGCGCAGGACATGCGCGAGTGGATACACCGGCGGGTGAGCCATGGGATAAGGGGTGATTGTTATGGGATGGTGCCGGTAAGCAATGGGGGGGCCCGCGAGGAGGGGAGAAGGGGGATTAGAAAAGACGGAGGGATAGAGGGTGCTGGCACAGGACATGCGCGAGTGGCCGGCCTGCGGGTGGGCGAGAGGGGCAGAGAAGGGGGGGAGGGAATACGGGGGATATGGAAGGGTTAAGAGGCGATGGGGGGAAGAAGATGGCAAGGGTTCAGGAACGTGAGGTCTATGAAGCAGGATGTAGGGGCTCTCTCCTCTGCTCTTTGTCACCCCATTCTTCCCCTAACCCTCCCCCCCTCCCCCTGCACGCCTCTTTCCAACGCCTCTTCCCCACTCCTCTCGCCCACACCACTCCACCACACCTACTCCCCACTCCCTCTCTCCTACCCCTCTCCCCCACGCCTTTCCCCCACGCATTTTCCTCACCCCCCTCTCCCCCCCCACCCCTTTCCCCCACGCATTTTGCTCACCCCATTCCCCCACCCACCCCCTTCCCCCACGCATTTTTCTCACCCCTCTCCCCCACCTCTTTCCCCCATGCATTTTCCTCACCCCCCTCTCCCCCCCCATCCCTTTCCCCCTCGCATTTTGCTCACCCCTTTCCCCCACCCACCCCTTTCCCCCACGCAATTTCCTCGCCCCTCTCCCCGTTCAAGAGGATGCTGATTTAAGAGTGAAGGTTGGAGAGTGCAGGAGGGTCTTGCTGCTGTAGTACAAAAGCCTGCCAGAAGTCTTGGGTTCCTATTGGGCTGCCAAGCACTTTGACGCCTCCATCGCCTAGAGGCGGGAGGCTGGTGATGTTGGCAGCCCCTCCGGCCGAGACCCAGTGGGTCACTTTGGCGGACACTTTTGGAGCTGAGAAGGGTGTGTGCAGGGTTCTGGCGCAGGAGCAAGTGGGGAGGGCTGCCTGTACGTGTTGATGATGTACGGTGAGGAACCTTGGAGAGCTGAGTTCCGTTGGGGTCTCCAATATGCCATGCGCCCAACGGAGTCTACAGGTTACCTGCAGCTGCTCGTCTCTGTTGCTGGTCTGTGTGTGCCCGTCGCACCCAGCTCGCCAAGAAGACCTCTTTCTCTCAGAGCTCGAGGAAGGGCCCACATGGTTCGGGCTCACACCATGATCACATCAGATAACCACCTCAGTATCCCATGATCTCATCACCCCAAGATCGCATCTACCCCATGGCAGAGCACCGTGGCAGGGTGCACTAGGTGTGCTGAGTGCAGCCGTCACTATCCCTTCCCCTTACACTTTCCCATTTCCACCCCTTTCTCCCTTTCCCTCCTGTAGCCCCTCCGATTCTCCATCCCGATTGCCATCCGCACCTCTCCAGGTGAACACAGTGCAGCAAGCAGCGTCCATCACACTGCTCCAATCCGCCTATCCTGCATCACCTCATTGCTCTCTCTTGCTCCCTCTCACCACCCTTCTCCCCTATCACCCACCAGTGTGCATAGTCCTGTCAGTAGCATCCACCCCCTGCCATCTCTACACCCACACATTGATCAGCAAGCCCTCATCTCTACACTGAGGTGAGTAGTGCGTTGTATCGAACCTGCTTCTACCGAAACGGGTCTCTCCTCTAATTTGTGATCTGGCTTGCTGCCACTGCCATTGGCAACTCATCATCTCTCGTGTCCACCCATCAATTTGGAGGAGTCAGTCTCATGATCTTATTGCTTCATCACACGTTCACCCCATCCACACAGCACCATCCCCATTACCCCATCAACCAATCAGACCATCACCTCTTCACCCAACCAGCTCTTTGCCTCATCATCCCATCACCCCATCACCCCATCCCATGATTGGTGGGGCGCATGGTGCAGGCCAGTGGTACGGGTTGGTAGTTTGCCGTCCACAAAAGCGAGGAGCTGCCCTTGATCTCCCCTACCTTTCCATTTTCCCTTCAATCCCAACAGTCCCTATTTTGCAGGCGCAGAGCCAACATCGCCAGCGTTAGAGCAGTGAGCTGTCTCAACAGTGGACTGGCTCATTCCAATTGGGCGCCTTTCCACCAGGCACTGAGCTCTGCTAGTTCTCAGCCTTCATCCTCCCTGCCTGCCCTGCCTTCCCTTCCTTCCCTTACCACCCTCGACTACCATTACCAACCCCTACTCTGCAGGCAGTACCCGGCAGGTGCAAGGCCAAGATCCCCACTCGCATCACCGTCGCCTTCATTGAAACCTTGGGGACCTCTGGCACTTGGCTTTGCCTCGTCCCACCCTTCGCCATCCTCGCCCTCGCAATAGAGAGCAGCTCATTGCTCAACGATGTTGATTTCTGATTTCCGCGATTTGTCATTGCGTGGATGCTGCTGAATGGAAGTCTGCTGCTGCTGCTCTCCAAGGGTGGCGGCATGATTTTGTCCTTCCTTGCCCATTGATCCCCATTTTGAGAGTGTCAAGTCGTTCTACTTCTAAACAGCAGCCGGCTAGTTATGTTGCCCAGGAGTGACGGCATGTTCCTGTTATTATTACCCACGGATCCCTCCGACATTTGACCATCTGGCATCAATGCAAGAACTTCTCTTTGGTGTACCGATGCAGGGAGGGGAAACAGATGAAGGTGAAATGGAACACAACTAGAGGGGATGGATCCTCGCCTGACTGCCTCCCACCGATGCCACCACCAACCCCTCCAGCAACCGAGGGGAAAGGGTGGACTCGTTTGCAGCGGACCTGGCAATATGCATTTGGTCAATCTGAAAAGAACTTAATATAATTGGTTGTTTCATTCAAACTACGGTAGCCCAATTTTGCATATTTGGCAAGTAAGCAGTGCAGATATAACTTGGGACAAACAGAGAAAAAAGGGTATCACTTTTTGAACTTAAAAAGGTCCTCTTTAGACCAGGGGGACCCACTTTCCGGTTATATCCAGAAAAACAGCCGCATCTTGTCTAGGTTGCGGAACCTGCCATTCTGATTTGATCAACGGAACTCATGCTGGTGGATAGCAGCACATGTGAGGATCAGCTGGAGTCTGGGGTGCCGCGGTGAGAGAGAGGATACGCGGGGGAGCGATGATACGCTAGGGGGGCGGACGAGTAGAGCGAGGCGGGGTGGTGCAGCAGCTAAAGTTGCTCGGAGGGCCTGCCCGGGTGGTGAGGGATGAGCTCATCAGTGAGCTTTTGCACCCGATGGCCTTCAGATGACTTTTGAGTCGACTCAAAAGACAGCTAGAGTTGGTCCGAGGGCCTGCCCCCGGGTGGTGAGGGAGGAGCTCATCACTGAGCGCGTGCACCTGATGGCCTTCAGACTCACGTGCCTTGTTGCGCGACAGCCTGCCACACAGCACACACACACACACGCATGCACACACACGCACGCGCGCACACGCGCACACACAGACACACGCGCACGCACGCACGCACGCACTCGTACACACACACACACAAACAACCCCCCCCCCCCCCCCCACTCCCCCCTCCCCCTCCCCCTCTCCCCCCCCCCCCCCCCCACACCCACACCCACCCACCATGCAGAAGGCGAGGACGCCCCCCACGGGCATGACGGCGAGGGTCCAGAGGGCGTGAGGCCACGTGTCAAAGTAGGGCAAGGAGGCGAGCGAGGACCACGGCTCGTGCAGCAGCGAGAAGATGCCGCACACAAGCGCCATCACGGGCGCCAGATACTGCAGCAACGTGAGCAGCGGGTTGGTCAGGCCTGTTGGGGTAGAGGGAGGGCGGACTTGCGGTTGGTGGGAGGCAAGGGGAACTAGGAGGACTGGAAAGGAGATAGTGGCATGAGGATGGCGTGACCATAGCAAATATGCGAGGAAGGGTGAGAAACCGGAGGATTGTGGCGTGTGGGAGAGCAAGCACAGCACACAGGCACTGTGGAGCTGGGGCTGCACCCGGAAATATGAGGTGAGTGAGGAGGAAGGGGCAACGCGACAGATGCTTACCAAGTGTGTCCCTCTGTCACCAGTAGAAGCGACGACAGCATGGTGAGATGGTGAGTAGATGTTGTGAGCGTAAAGGGTAAACAGGAGACGAAAAGAGTGGGTTAGTTGGTTGATGCAGCAGCACACATAGCAGCACAGCAGCAGCACAGCAGCACACAGTAGCACAGCAGCACACAGCAGCATACACAGCAGCAGTGAGCAGCAGCTTACCTGGAGGAGCACTTGCAGCAGCACCCATCGGAGACCCGCCATGAATGAGGCCAGCATGACGAAGATGAAGCCCAGCAGCTCAAACTCCGTCTCCCCCGCCACTGGGAGCACCACACGCCACTCGAGGGCACACCACACGGAATGTCAAAAGCGCGAATTAAGTCAAAGAACTCTGCTCGACGCCCATGTATAAATCAGGCGTTGCGTTGCAATGCTGATTGGGGGGTGGAGCGCACGGAAATGGTAGTGATACAAGAGGAAAACTGAGGCACGGTAGAAAAAAATGTTGGATGGTCATCGAATTACCCTCCCAGCCCCCTCCCCCTTCCGTTCTCCCTTCCGTTCCCCCTCGCCCCCCCCTCCCCACCCTATGCCGAGCACGCCGACGGATATGATGAGCCTGGTGCCCACCCATGCTTCTACTCTATGCATCGCAACGTGCTGTGTGTGTGGAGCGCACCCAAGTTTGAGTGCCACACTGGACCTTTTCTGCAACGGATAAGATATCACAAACACTTTTGAGTACACCCACGCTTGAGCAAACCCCCGTAAGCGGATCATTTTGACCAAGGAGACTGCAGTGAATGAAGCGGATAAGATATCGCACAGTGACGACGAGGGAGAATAAGGGCAGGACAGCGTACCATGGAGTAGAAGGTCCGGGTGACGAGCGCGAGGGAGAAGCTGGAGAGGGCAATGTCAAGCGATGTGGCCACTGCCGTGGGCACCACTGCATGCACGGGGCAGAGCACACAGGGCACAGGCCAACACACGTTTAAACAACTAAGCATCTATTAGAAAGCCGCCTGAACCGAACCAGCCTCAATGGACAAGTTGCAGAACGTGCAAGCACGAGTTCCTGAGCGCGCCCATCCCCATTCTCAATCCCTCCCTCCCACCCACACGGCGAACCTCGCACGAAGTAGTCGCGCCAGGAGATGGGGGAGGCGGGCAGCCACGAGTGGCAGCAGAGGTGACTTTTGAGGCGACTCAAAAGTCAGTTGACTAGAAACACTTTTGAGTCAACTCATCAAGTTACCTCGCACCACGTGACCGATCAGTACCTTGTTGTACCTGCCCACCCACCCACGGCCACCACCGCCCCGCCACCCACCCACCCACCCATCCATTCACCACCGCCCCGCCCGTGCGTACATGCATGGCGATGCGATAGTGCAATGCATAGCGGGAGTGCACAGGTACAGCAGGGGGCGATAAAGGGTTGCTTGCAAGGGGAGATAGGAACGGGCGAAAGGGCCCTTTAGATGGATGGCCAGCCCAGTGAGCAATTTGATCACGCCCTGGGGGAGTGGCAACTACAGGGAGGGTGGCTACACAGGAAAAGCGACATGCTTACAGGGAGCGCGGCATGCTACAGCGCCATGCTTAGAGCAGCATGCTTACAGGGAGCGCGGCATGCTACAGCGCCATGCTTAGAGCAGCATGCTTACAGGGAGCGCGGCATGCTACAGCGCCATGCTTAGAGCAGCATGCTTACAGGAAGCGCGGCATGCTACAGCGCCATGCTTAGAGCAGCATGCTTACAGGGAGCGCGGCATGCTACAGCGCCATGCTTAGAGCAGCATGCTTACAGGGAGCGCGGCATGCTACAGCGCCATGCTTAGAGCAGCATGCTTACAGGGAGCGCGGCATGCTACAGCGCCATGCTTAGAGCAGCATGCTTACAGGGAGCACGGCATGCTACAGCGCCATGCTTAGAGCAGCATGCTTGCAGGGAGCGCGGCATGCTACAGCGCCATGCTTAGAGCAGCATGCTTACAGGGAGAGCGCCGTGCTGAAGGTGTGCCAGAGCAGCACGAGCAGCACCACCTTAACCGCCGACCACAGCCACGGCGCGCACCATGGCGACACGCGCAACGCCGATGCTGACCCAGCAACGTCATCTTCCAGGTCCGCTGGCACGATAACATCTTCGCTATTCGCCATAGGCCGACTCGATTCCGTGATCGATTTGACCTGGATGGCATTGCTTGTGGCAAGTCGCGGCGAGAGCAGCGCTTGGCTCTCATTGGTCGACATGATGGCGAACAGGAACAGCTACGATGGTCAACCCTAAACTCCGCACTAATGAATTCTCGTGGCAGGGTGGCGTGGAGATTCGATCATAGCTCTCAACGCGAAGAGATGGACGAACGCGACTGAGTGTCGCACACAGGGTCGCCAGATCGCAAAATGCTGCGCTTGGAGCTTTTTTCCAGATAGCGCGTTTTGAGACGTCTCTAAACTAGATTGCTGCGCTTGGAGCTTTCTTTCAGAGCGAGATCGACCCGAGCAGCGAGCGACTGCACGCGCTAGTCGCTCAAAATGCGGCGCCACTCTGTAGGACGCCGTGACGGAAGCAGGGAAGCGCCAGATACGCCCAAAAAAAAAAAAATCAGCATTCGGTATCAGTGCGCTTGTGATCGCTTGTGAATCCGGATACCACAAGCGCTTGTGATAACTAGAAACGCCACGCGACTCGTAGATTTTGCGGAAACTAAGATGGTGGGAGGAGCATGTGAGCATATGTGTGTGCCCGACATTGCAAGAGCCCACTTGAACCTATTCTACGACAGTAGTTCAGCTTGCATGGTTTGCCTAGTTGATGCTCGGTTACCACTCGCCTCATTCAACGAAGAAGCACGAAGTTGCAAAAGTACAGCTAGTGGGGTACTACAAACAAATGTTGGTCGACAAACCAACAAAGGAATACGAACCATGTTTAGGATGGCAACAGCTAACTCACAAGCTCAGGCATCGAATTTGGAGTCCCGTCCCAAATTCGTACCTTGATTACGGCCGTGCTTGGGCGAAATGAGAACGACGCAGGGCCTGCTTGTTTGGCAGTTCACTTCGCGGAACTAATAGGTGTGCGAGATAAATTTCATCTCGCAAAACACGGGTGGTAACATACAAATGGCAATCGGCTGTGGATTCTGAAATGGAATGGTTGTGTCGAACTCGAAATTCGAGTACTGGGTCATAATCTGACCTCCCGTATGACTCCTTCCTACTACACCTGATGCCTATTTCAGTTCCCTTTCTCCATCTTTCCCTGTGCTCCTCTCTCGTGCACGCGCTCCCCATGGGAGAATGGGACTGTATTTGGGTAGGCTAGCGTGTCTTGTCTGGGAAACTCGAAGAACTTATTCGAGGTCAAGAATATCTTAGTTTTGTCGTGGGCTAGTAACGCGCGGGCCGTTGGCTGTGAATGTCGACCACTGGGCGTATGGAGTGGCAGTGGGCGTGTTCAGAGTGGGCGGTTGAGTGAGCATTAGGGTGTACAGCTATGTCTAGCCACCATAATCTGAGTCGTGACGCATACTAGGCGTGCATTGCAAGAGCGCTATCTCCCATCGCAAGAGAAGGCGACTCGAATCGCCTCTACGAACCACTACGACTCGCGGCGGCGCCATTCCCTTTGCGACTCGTACTATACTCCGCGCATCCTGTGCTCTCGTCACTATTTTTTGGTCCGCTCGCTCCGTCGCAACACTTTCGAATTTGCCGCGTCGCGCCATCACGCGCCACGCGCTGCAGATCGACGTACCGCGCCGCCGCTGGGACACTTCGAGCCGCGGAAACGATAGTCTAAGAAACCCTAGTTAGAGGTAAGCCTCCCCATCCATTCCCCAGTCAGACCTTCGCTTTCAAATCTTTGCAAGCCTGAGGCTCACAACTCATGGTCTAGGCGCTTCTAGTCTGTCAGAGGGGGTCGATGCGCAACTGTTGGTTACACACGGAGTTGCTTACGGATTCTGCACACTGCCAAGAGACTAGCAGAGCCCCTTGACGCATTCGTTGCCCTTATTAGCATTGCTGCTTTCGCCCTGGTTCACGGAGTCACGCTGTCACTCACCCAGGCAATGACCGTCCAAGCATGTGACCCAGCTCTCTCACTGACCTGGGCTCTCGTTGACCTGGGCTCTCGTTGACCCGGGCTCTCATTGACCTAGGCTCTCGTTGACCTAGGCTCTCGTTGACCTGGGCTCTCATTGACCTAGGCTCTCGTTGACCTAGGCTCTCGTTGACCTAGGCTCTCACTGACCTGGGCTCTCGTTGACCTGGGCTCTCGTTGACCTGGGCTCTCATTGACCTGGGCTCTCATTGACCTGGGCTCTCATTGACCTGGGCTCTCATTGACCTGGGCTCTCATTGACCTGGGCTCTCATTGACCTGGGCTCTCATTGACCTGGGCTCTCATTGACCTGGGCTCTCATTGACCTGGGCTCTCATTGACCTGGGCTCTCATTGACCTGGGCTCTCATAGACCTGGGCTCTCATTGACCTGGGCTCTCATTGACCTGGGCTCTCGTTGACCTGGCCTGGGCTCTCGTTGACCTGGACTCTCGTTGACCTGGGCTCTCATTGACCTGGGCTCTCATTGACCTGGGCTCTCGTTGACCTGGGCTCTCATTGACATGGGCTCTCATTGACCTGGGCTCTCATTGACCTGGGCTCTCATTGACCTGGGCTCTCATTGACCTGGGCTCTCATTGACCTGGGCTCTCATGAACCTGGGCTCTCATTGACCTGGAATCTCGTTGACCTGGGCTCTCGTTGACCTGGACTCTCGTTGACCTGGGCTCTCATTGACCTGGGCTCTCGTTGACCTGGGCTCTCATTGACCTGGGCTCTCATTGACCTGGGCTCTCATTGACCTGGGCTCTCATTGACCTGGGCTCTCATTGACCTGGGCTCTCATTGACCTGGGCTCTCGTTGACCTGGGCTCTCGTTGACCTGGACTCTCGTTGACCTGGGCTCTCATTGACCTGGGCTCTCATTGACCTGGGCTCTCATTGACCTGGGCTCTCATTGACCTGGGCTCTCATTGACCTGGGCTCTCATGAACCTGGGCTCTCATTGACCTGGAATCTCATTGACCTGGGCTCTCGTTGACCTGGGCTCTCGTTGACCTGGGCTCTCATTGACCTGGGCTCTCGTTGACCTGCCTGGGCTCTCATTGACCTGGGCTCTCATTGACCTGGGCTCTCATTGACCTGGGCTCTCATTGACCTGGGCTCTCATTGACCTGGGCTCTCATTGACCCGGGCTCGGACTGACTTGGGCTTTATTTTAGGCTCTCATTGTTTCCCTGGTGTGTTTCGTTGCCCTGGTTCAGAAACTCACGCTGTCACTACGCAGTCAAGAATTACCACGCTATGAAATGGATCTCTTAGCGATGCTAACATAGTAGAAACAGCCTAAAGCTAATTGCTAGGTGCCCAAGTTAGAAACAGTCTATGCTTGATTTCAGGGTGCGAAGGCAGAGCGACCCCAAGCTGATGATTAGGTTATCTCTGACCTAACTGCAAGTGACCCCACATTTGTCGAGGCTAACCTATGACTGACCTAATCTATGTCGGGCTTGCTTGTGCTTGGCCTAGCCTGGGACTAGGCATGAGCAAATAGCGACTTGTTTTAGTAACGAGGTGACGCGAGTTTTACTCTTTACTCGTCCAAAAAGGCGAGTAACCTACCTATTTGTCACGGATAAGAAAATGATCACAGCGAGGCAAGTGATACTCGCCTCGCCAGGAACACCTGATGTTGAGTTCATTATTTTTCATGGAAACATTGATCTGCAACCTCTCCCCCCCCCCCCCCCACACCCACCCCCCCCCCCCCCCCTCCCCTCCCCCCTCCCCCCTCCCCCCCCCCTCCCCCCCTCATGAAAGTACTTTCATTTTCGCCTATATTCGCCTGTTAGTGTCCTAGCATCTGACTGACCTGCCTTGTCATTGTCCTACCTGCGAGTGACCTGGTTTCTGTTTGTTCTTGCTTGTGCTTAACCTTACTGGTGATTGGCCGAGCTTGGGACTGTTGCAGCCTCCGACTGGCCTAATCTGTGAGTGACCTAGTTTGTAGCTTACCCAGCTTGTCACCAACTTGGCCTCTGAATGACTATCATAGGCCCTGACTAACCTAGCGTGTGGGGGGGCTAGATTCGATGGACCTATCTTGTGAGGGTCTTGCCTCTGACTGACCTTTCGTGTGACTGACCTTTCGTGTGACTGACCTTTCGTGTGACTGACCTTTCGTGTGACTGACCTAGCCTTTGACCAACCTAGTTAGCCTAGCTCCCAACTGGCCCAGTTCCTGACGGACCTGAGTTATCCTGTAAGCAGTGGTTAGATTTGATTCACAATCACATATGACGATGGAGATTTGTTAAGGTTCGCTGCTTGTTTGGGATTTGAATCGCTACCAGGACTGAAAATCTCGTCTTGATTTGGCTGGGATACAGCTAGGCTAGGTGCCGGATTGAGGGGAGGAGGTTAAGATGCCGTTGTTGGAAACTGTGCGACAGAACAAGTGCAGCAAATTTGTGTGGACAGAAAACGTCGGGTAAGGCTGATACGGTCAGGGTGGTTCAGGGTGGTCAATGGATTGGGAAGGAGGTGGCGATATGAATGTAGAGCATTTCTTCTCTTTTTTTTTGCGTCAATCTGACAATATGCCAATTTGCACGGCGGGGCGATAAAAGTTGTTCTATAATCGCCCTGTAGTATTCTTGTATAGTGTAATGCGTAGTTCCGAGTGCATTATGGATTGCCAAAGGCCAGTGGATTTACACAGTATGCTCGCTAGTGACAGACAAAGGCTATGATTCAACCAGCCTACGATCAACCTAGTCAGTGACTAACCAAGCACGTTTTCCAGCCTCTGATGGACCAGACTTGTGATTCCTTTACAGGTGACCAACTGTGACTGGCCTAGCTTCTGACCACCTACGAGCATGATCATTTTTGCAGCTGTCACGTTGTCTCATCAGTTGCTAATTCTGAGCTTCACCGAAAACAATTCCATTGCGCTCCTTACCACCACCAATAACCCCTTCCACTCACTTATCCCATGCTACTACTCTGGCCTAATACTTTTTGCGATGGCCGAGCCAATTCTGGCTTAATTTATGGCCAGGGTCTGTAAGTTGTCTCTCAAGCCACGTTTGTGAGTCGACTTATGGAATTTGAGCATGTCCAGCAACGTCTCGAGTTTCTTTCGCTACCATTTCTGTTCTCCCAAGCCCTGTCGTTTCAAGTTCCCTCGTTGTGTGCTCGCTCCGGCTTCCCTCACACGCATGCGTGAGCTTAGTTTTCCTCAGTCTTTCGTCTCCAGTAACAAGAAGAGCTGCCAGGGCCACGTTGCATAAGCTATGCCAGGCTGAGGTCTTCGTCCCGCCGTCATTGCTGCTCCATCCACTCCTCATGCGTCCTATCTTACTCTGTTCCTCCTCCTGGCTTCAGTTCTGGCCTTTTGCTCTTGTTTCTTCTGCCACTTTCAGTGGCCCCCACCTACTTACACTGATGTCAAGGTCTGGTGCAAGCCTCGCCTCCCTGCCTCTTTTCACACTGTGGATACAATCAGATTTTGAAATACATAGAAGAAGAGGAGATTCCTGTCTTTGCTTCTCGTGTTCTCTCTTCCCCTCCTCTCCCTTCCTGTCGCCCTACATTTGTGTTTCTTAAAACCCTTTTTTTTTAAACACCAATGTATCCGGGACCATCTGGGTGCTCTGCTAATAAAGCGCGCTCTATCTGACTGATGCTACACCACCTTCTTACCGGCCCCCTATGTGTACCTCTCCAAGCCTGGTCATTGTCTCCCTTGTCTGTCTTCTCTGGTTCCTCTTAGCGTTGTGTTTGTTGTTGTACTCTTTCAGCAAATTTCTGCATGTCTTTGCTGTCTCCTCCTACTATGCTTGGCCTGCATGCTTTGCCAGTCGAGGTGAATTGCTTTAACATCAACACCCGATGCAGTCCCTACCGCTTCACCACTACAATCGTTTCTGCCTTGCTGCGATACTTGTGGTGTCCCTTTCCAACAGCCCATTTTTCAATCAAGTTCCTCTTTTTCTGCTACTACTTATCTGCTCTCTTTCTCACATCACTGCCTCATCTCTCATGCTTGTGTAATTGGTCTTGTTTGTGTGTCCACTCACCAGGCACCTTCTCCGTCTTTTGTTTTTACGTTTCTGTTTTTTCGCAAAACGTTAAACCCTGCCCTACCCAGGCTTGTTTGCTCTCGCCAGGCAGCAGGGAATGGGGGCAACTGAACGCACGGATCAATCAGCCATAGAACGAGGGCTGTTTGAGGAGTCAGTGAGTGGATGAGATGGCTGCTGAGAGAGTGCTGAGTGGGCTGAAAGAGTTGTGCAAGGAGGCTGTGTTGGCAGCAGTTAGACGGGAGCTGGCTGCACACAAGGAGGAGGTGGATGAGTTGCGGCACATGCTGACAGCAGTGAAGGGGGAGTTGGCAGCGGTGAAAAGGGAGTTGGTGGAACAAAAGGGTACTATGGCAGAGCAATGGGCTGAGGGTAGTAGGGCATCAGATGCATGAGGCCTGAGAGGGGAGAGTAGAAAGAGAAGGCACGAAATGGTAGCAGAGTTTCCATGGGAGGAGGAGAGGAGGAAAGAGGTGCAGGAGTTAAACCTGCCATATGCCATGGAGGAATTGGCAGCCGGCAAGGAATGGCAGAAGGTACAAGACGTGAAAGTGAATGTTACCCGGAAGATCAAGCGGAGTGTAGGCGATAAAAAGACTGCATGGCGGGTGAGTGCTTAGGGGCCTGTTCCATAAAGCATATATTGCTTGCCATCCCTTCCTTATCACCACCATGATCATCCATTCCCTTGCTATGCTTTCTCTCTTCGTTCATTTCTTCCAGGCAATCAAGGAAGCATTACAGAAGTCTGATCTGAGCCTGGCGTGTCTCCGCGGCGTCTCAGACGCCATGCTCGTCCATGTGTCCACAATGACGCACCTGACGAGCATTGACTTGGACTCGAGGTCAGGCTTCAGTGCAGAGGGCATCAAACACCTCTACAGGCTGCCCCAATTAGAAAAGCTAAACTTCAATTACACTGATTTCTCAGACAGTGCCTTGGAAGGCATTGGGTCCTTGACCAGTCTCACAGACCTCTCTCTCCATCAGGCCAATGTGACCGATGCCGGACTGTCGCACTTGACACCTCCGTTCTCTCTCAAACACCTGCGGCTTGGTTATTGCAGTGGTGTGACAGATGCCGGCATCGTGCATCTGGTGAGGCTTAAAGGGCTTGAGAGGCTTGATCTGGATGGCACGGCAGTCACGGATGATGGGCTGCAGCAGCTGACTGCCCTGACCAAGCTGACACATCTCTATACGCCTTGGCAGCTGAATGCGCCCCACCAATATGACAATTTCGTTTACACCAAGATGACAGATCTCTATACCTTGAAGTTGCCTATGTATGCAGACTTATAGGAAGGTATGGTAGGTTGGCAGGGAGCGATGTGGAAGGGAGGGAGATGAGTTGAGGGAAGAGTTGGCTGACTGGTATGAGGCAAGGGGACTGAAGCATGAGGGATGGAGCACATGGATGGCTATGCCAGTCAGAGGCTAGGCTCTTGTTCACAGTAATGAGCAACCTCCGTTTGATCCGTACGCAAACATGGGTAGTGGAAGCAAGGGGTGTGGATAATAGTGAACACACGACCTATTTCTACACAGCCTGCCAGAAATGCGAATCGCTTATTAATATACTTGTCCTTGCCGGGATTGTTACACGAGCAGGGGTACCGTAATTTGGTTGGCTGGCTTGGCTTTGAGCCTGCAATGTGAGCCACAATTGACTCACAATCAAATTACATCGTAGGTCTTATGAATGACCTCACCACTTACCACATTCCAAAACAACAAAATCTTACGGTCTTTGAAGAAATAGTACCAGTATCAAAGACCTAGAGGGGCATTGTTGTGCTCCTTTGTGTTTGTCGCAAGCATGCCGCGGAAGAAGCACTGAAACGCACCAGAGTCCAGTGTGAAGGACAGGGACACCTCAGCCAGAGGGTCACCTTTCCTAGTGGCTACACAAGCACCTAGAGCAGCAACACAAGCACCTAGACTAGAAAGGCACAAGTCTACACTAGCAGGAGGCAAGCAAGCAAATCTACGAACACAAGTCTACACTAGCAGGAGGCAAGCAAGCTAATCTACGAACACGCGAGCACACAGATCCATCAGCACTATAGTCAACATCAGCATACAAAGCATGCTGACGAGCATCGTCTATGGATAGATCAAACACATCAATCTTACGGGCTAACAGGCGAGCCCAGCAAGGCGTGGTCGCCGTAGGGCCCCAACGAGCACGGTAGAGGTCGTCAAGGCGGCGGAAGCACCGCGCGGCAGAGTGGTTGTCACAACCGCAGAGACAAGGGCTGCCAGGTCCGGTGAGGCACCAGTGGGTGCAGGGGCCAGTGTCACGGCGAGGGGGGCGAGGGGCCCAGCTAGAAGTGCTGCCGCTGCGGCCGGTGCTCCCTGGTCCTCCCGGACCACACTACGGCGGGGGACCCCAGTGCTGCTGCGGACCCCACTGCAGTGGGGGCCCCCACTGTTGGAACTGCTGCGGTGCCTGCTGCTGCTGCGGTCCCTGCTGCTGTTGCTGCTGTCCCTGCTATGGCTGGTGCTGCTGCGACTGCTGCTGCTGGGGTCCAACACCCCCACCGGTCGGGCCACCGCCAGTGGGCCGGCCTGTCTGTCCTGCACCTCCTCCAAGGCCCCCTCCGCCTGGTGCACCTCCGCCGCCGCCGCTGCCTCCACCACCGCCGCTCCTACCTCCACCGCCACCTCCACCGCCGCCTCCACCGCCTCCACCTCCCCCCTTCCCGCCCTTCTTGTCACTCTTGCCCCGTTTCTGCCAATCTGCGGCAGAAACGGCAGCAGTGTCCCCAGAAACCGACACAGCAACAGAAGCACGAGTAGCAGTGAAAGTGGGAAGCTGAGGGGCGGCACACCCCGCAAAGAGATGGGGGGCCACCGCGTCAGTGGCGGAAGCAACGGTGAGGAGGCTACTCTCAATCCAGTCCACGTTGGCCTGGCAGATCCTACTTCAGGACCATCTGTCGCTTGCAGTTCTACCACCCTCCCGTGCCCGGCTGTCCCTTCTGGTTTCCTCACTGGTCTCTACATCCCCTCGTTCTCTAGAAACTTGGTGGGTGTTTGATACCTTCAGGACTGCTGGATGATCGTCACTTTTCCTGGGCACGGGAGGACTGCGATCTGTATGGACGCTTCCACCGAGGTCGTTCTTACCACATTCACCAGAGAGCCCCACTCAGGCCTCTTTGTTTTGCACACTGCGCCCCCCCAGGAGCAGAGTCCGGTCAGGTTACTGCGTCCAGTCAGGTTGCTGTGTCCGGTCAGATTACAGCGTCCGGTCAGGTTGCTGCATTTGGTCAGGTTGCCGCGTCTTGCTCTTGTCGGTCACTCACCCACCCGACAGTCTTATGGCACCACCGCCTTGGTCTCCCGTCCCTCCCCCACCTCCGCAACATGGCTAGTCAGCGTCTTGTCTCGGGTATCCCACAAGTCTTTGCGTCGCTGTGTCTCTCGCCTGCGTCATCGTGCACCCCTTGTATCGAGGGTCAGCTGCGCACCACTCCTCGCTCCTCCTCCCTTCGTCCGACCATAGCTCCCTTCCAGACCCTCCGCTTGGACGTCTAGGGCCCAGCCCCTTGACTTGGGCCCAAGCGGGACCACTACTTTCTGGTGGTCGTTCATGACTACTCCAGGTACACCACGGTGTTTCTTCTAGTGAAGAAGTCCGAGGTGACTTCTACGCTGATCCGGTGGCTCCTGGCCACTAAGGGCACTCGTGGTAGTCGTATCTTCTGTCTCCAATCCAATCATGGGGATGAGTTTCGCTCCGACATGCTTGCCAGATTCTGCGGCAAACAGAGCATCACATAGTTCTGGACGCTTCTGGAGACTCCACGGCACAACGGGGTTGCTGAGCGCCGCATTGGCTTGGTCATGGATATCGCCCACAACTCCATGATCCATGCCCATGCGCCCATTTTCTATGGCCCTACGCGATTCGCTACCCCGCTCATGAGCTGAACCCCTGGCCTTGTATCTCACGACCAGGGGATTCGCCGACCAGTCTTTGGACCGGGTCCCCTGGTGTTGCGTCGGAGTTTTGGTCTAGGGCTGCCTTGCGCTTGTCCGAGACACCTCTGCGGACAAGCTCTTGGCTCGCGCCATCCCCTGTGTCTTCTTTGGTTTCCCGGTGGACTCTCATGACCTTGAGTTTTACCACCCACCCCTCCATTGGTTTCTCGACTCTCGTGATATTCGGTTTGACGAGTCTGTGTCCTACTACACCCGCTACCCCTGTGTAGGTCTCCCCTTCCTCCCCCTCCTCTTTTCCTTGGTCCCACTCCTCCTCCTACTCCCGCTCCTCCGGTACCCAATCCCCCCCCCCCCCCAGGTCCTGCCCCGTCTGCTCATGCTACCCCTCTCCCCTCGGTAGTACATCAGGTGTCGTCTCCCTCCCCATAGTCTTCCTCACGGTCACCTTAGTAGCCTACGGCACTACCGCAATAGATTGCAGTGGACTCAGGGGTGTCGGAGCTGGAGGTGCTAGCATTATAGGTGCTCGTTCTGAGGATGCTCGTTCTGTTGGCTGGAGGTGCTGGCACTGGAGGTGCTAGTTCGGTGGGTGTTGGATCTGGAGGTGCTGGCACTGGAGGTGCCAGTTTGGGGGGTGCTGGAGTGGTGGTTACTGGCCCTGGAGGTCATGGATCTAGGGGTGCTGAAGTAGGAGGTGCTTGCACTGGAGGTGCTAGTTTTGAGGGCTGGAGGCACTACTACTGCGGCACCCACCGCGCCTCCCCACCACTACGGCACGCATCTCCAGGCTCTTTGCTGGCTTGAGCGCGAGGAGCAGGAGCGATTGGAGCAGGTGAGGCAGGAGCTACAGCAGCTTGAGCACCAGGAGCGTTGTTTAAATCCCTACAGTTACGTCCGTATGCGGGACGGCATCTTAGCTCACCAATTTCTGCGAATTGGCGGTGTCAGCCGCCTATCCACGCAAATCTGCGCATTCCGACCGTTGATCTGTGCAAATCAACGATCTTTTCCCAACAAATTTGCGTGGATTGTCCATTTGACCACCAATCTGCGCCGATCAGTGGCTTTTCAATTCCGAACCGCGCGGATTGGCGATTTTGGTGGCCAAAAAGTGTTGCGGGGAAAGGTGGGAGCAGCTGAAACCCCTAACAAGCATAGATGTTTGCTTAGAAACGACCTCTTGCTCGTCACTTACCTCATGAGGTCGGTATCTCGGCCCTCATGGGTTTTAGTCTCTCCACTCTTCTTCTCTTCTACATGCCTACTGCCTCCATGATGATTATGTGCGTGGGATGTGCATATCTTCATCCACCTCTCACCACAATCAGACTGCATACCCTTCACCCTCCACCACCCCGCTCTACTCTCTCGCCCTCCCAATGCTTGCCTCTGGCCACTGTTCGCCAATCCGTTGCCCGCTTCACCCGGACGTCACCCTTTCCCATTTTTACTTTCCACCCCTGGTTTTATCACCCATCCTTGTTGCTTGGCCCAGGTCGAGCCTTCCTTGGCCCGGGTCGGGCCTTGCTTGGCCCGGGTTGGGCCTTGCTTGGCCCGGGTCGGGCCTTGCTTGGCCCGAATCGGGCATTGCTTGGCCTGGGTCGGGCATTGCTTGGCCTGGGTTGGGCCTTGCTTGGCCCGGGTCAGGCCTTGCTTGGTCCAGGTCGGGCCACTCTGGCCCGAGTACAAAATCGGCGGGCTCGGGCCAAGGTCTTGGTCATTCGGCCCGGGTCGGGCCGGGCCAGGCCCGGCCCATGCTCAACCCTACCCTAAACCCCCTTCCTTGTCTTCCGCCCCTTCCTCATTCTCCTCCCCCTCCCCCCCACCTCATCCAACCTCCCTCGGTCCTTCCCCCCCCCCTTCCATTCCCATCCCGTATGCCTTCTTCCACTCTTCCTCTACAATACCCGTTTTTCTCCCTCTCTCTCTTCCCCATCTCCAAGTCCGTTGCATCACCTACACTAGGGCAATCTGTTCTTCAATCAGGAGCCTGGGCACCTCGGCCTCCTATGCTGCTTCCTCTTCCTCTCCTCCCAACTCCCTTATCTCTCCCACCAACTTGCCTCACTTGATCCCCCACACCTGTTGCTGCAGCAGCGGTGGCAGCAGTAGGGGCGAGGAAGGGGTGAGGGGAAGATGAGGGGGTTAAAGAACGGGTTGTGGGGAACAGAATCAAACTGCCCATGCGCAGCTGCAGCAGACTATGTATGAAGAGCGGGAAGGGGGACGGTGGGGTTGGGGGGGTTGTAGCGGAAGTGGTATGGGAGAAACATGGGGGGTGGAGAATGGCGGGGGAAAGAAAAATGTCTAGGAGAGGATGGCTGGAGATGGAGTGGGCTGTCGGTTCTGACGAAGTATGTAGAACTAGTAAATGTGTATGTAGTGTAGGCTGGAGGACTGTTGTAGATGCTCGTGTCAAATTTCTCCATGACAACCAGAAGAGGATTGTACCGTACAGTCTTAATTGTCGATTGAAACTCGAAATGTAAGTCCACATGCAAGCACATTGCTCGAAACCCATTCAACGCTGCTACGCTTCACTAGTTCATTCTTTATCAATGACATTGTACAAATGTTGGCCCGAATCACATATATACAAGCACAAACACACGCAATACCATCACCATCGTTCCCTCCATCCATTCTTTGTCAGTCGCATAGAATCCAGCGCTCATTGCTCACTGTCACCCTTGGAAGGTCAATGCTCTTCAATGCCAACAGTCTACCCACATTCTTCTTGATGTGCTCAGGCATTGCAGGCCCTGCAGCAGGCACTCTGCCGCCCTCCTCGTGAACTGACAGATGTTTATTTAGAATACTCAGGAACGGACTGGTGAACTTGCAGTTCCAGCACTTCCAGCCGCTTCAAGCCCGACAGATGCTTGACATACTCCATGCCCACGTCCGTGAGCATTGTTGGTACTGAGAGAATCTTCAGGCTGCTGAGGGATGTCACGTGCTGCAGCCCTTTGTCCCTCACCCCACTGCCTCGAAGATACAGCTCCTCAAGGCCTTTCAATCTCCCCACATGAACCATGGCAGCAGATGTGATATCCCCACAATTATTGAGCCATAGAACCCTGAGTGAAGAGAGGCCTGTTAGGTGCTGCAGGGCAGCGCCAGTCACCCCTATGCTACTCAAGAAGAGATCCTTGAGTTTCTTCAGTGCAGAAATGCCATCCAAACCATCCAGTGCGGCACACTAGCTCAGGTCCAGCTTCACCAGCCCCGCCAGCCTGAACCCGTGTTTCAATCCTGCTGCATCGAAGCCCGGGGACCCATACAGGTAGAGCTCCTTCAGGTCGTGCATTCTGGACATGTGGTGCAGAGCAGCGCTCGACAGGGTGCTGGGATTCATCAACTCCAACGCGTTCTTCCTGCTCTGGATCCGCACCATGCGACAGGATATCCTGGAGAAAAAGAAGCGCAGAAAATTCAAAATAACCTCAAGAACTTTCAAATACTGCTCCATGGTGTACCCTACCTATCTATTGCTGGTGGGGATGTGGCGAGGCAAAAGGCTTACGAAGAGCCAAACAAAAAGCCTAACACTTGGAAAGCATAAAAAGTTTGGGCATAATGCAAGCACGCACGTATGCTCCCTCTGCTACGAAGCAGCAGGTACATGCAGGGAGCAGCCAAAGCGATAGTTGGCAGGGGCAATGGGGCATATACACGCACCGCCCACGTGTATTGGCTTTCCCCTTGCCACCGCACAAGGGCTGCGACCACCTTCCAAACACGGTTACTCAGTCTAGCAACCTTTGTTGTCAATGCTGCTAATTTCTCTTCCTCTGCCTCCCTCTGTACGCCCCTCTTTCTTCCAAATCCCTCTGTCATACCACTCTCCGGCACTGCAGACACCACTCCTTCGAGCTCGTTCACCTCCTTCTGAACAGATAACTTCACGCAATTATTTGGCTCTTCAGCTCCACCAACGCATCCTTCAATCCACACAATTGCCCTTTGACTCCACTCACATCCTCTTTCACTTCATTCATTCCTCCCTTTACCCCAGCCAGCTCCCCTTGGAGTCCAGTAAACTTTCCCTCCACTTCAGTCAACGCCCCTTTGACCGTTCTTAATTCCTCCTTTACTCCAATCAAACCCCCCTGAATAAAAAGCAGGGCAAGGAACTAGGGCGAACCAACGAAGAAGCTCTTCGTTGTGGAAGAAGCTGAACTAGCGCGCCGTGAAGCTGAGGAGTTTCATCACAAAAGCATCGCCAAAGCACGCTGAACTTTCATTTGTGGCTCGTGGGGCGAAATGACTGAGGAAGGCGCCTCCAATGAAGGAGAGTAGGGCAGCAATGATAGCTGTGGCACCAGTAGCAGCGACACCTGGGGCAACACAGAAGGCACCTGGGCTAATGCTGGCAGAGGCTGGGGCACCACTACCGGCGGAACCAGTGGCGGATGGGGAAGCTCCGGCGAAGGTTGGGGGAGCATCGCGAGAAGAACAAAAAGGGGAAACTGAACCGCCAATTGTTCCTTTGAATCGCCCCCAGGCATCCCTACACCACCGCCACTTCCTGCGGACAAACCGCTGCATCGCGACCCCTGGGGCATGATCGACTGGGGCAATGAGCCATCAACCCGTGCCGCACCGTCTACGGACCTGACCCCGAGCCGCGCGAACACGCTCGTCCCCGGAAAAATTCCTGGGACCAACATTTCTCTCTCGGTCATCCCCGATAAGGAGATCCTTGCGCTAATGGTGATGAGGGGGAATGACGAAGTGGAAGAAGAAGCGCTAGAAGCGCCTACCACCATACATGAAGAAGACCCTGAAGTGGTGCGCGCATGCAATATGCGCACTTCCGGACTCTGCGCATCTGACAACCTGTGGCCTCAGCAACCCGTCGCGCATGACAATTGACAGCTGTATCACTGCAGAAGTTTTCGCGCCTAGCGCACTCCTGCGCCCTGACGGCTCCGAGATTAGGACCACATCATAGCCATGCACTTGCACAATCTGCCTCGAAGCCGCGCCAAGCCATCAGCCATTCCCACTACTGGAACCGGGAACTAACCGGTACCCCAAGCTGCACAAAGTTTACAACGACTTCCTCGTAGTCGGCCACTCCGGACTCAATGACGAAGGGTACACGCTCACCTTCATCAATGCAGGAACCCATTACACGTGGATCGCAAACGTGCAATTCTGCAGCAGGGCGTACGAAGTTTTCCGCTTCTGGCTTGCTCGCGCGCAATGTCAATTAGAGAAGAAGCTACAGATCTAGCAAAATGGCAGTGCAACATGTATGGAAATCCAGGACTACCTGGGGCAGAGGAGGACATCACATCACATTTCACTCCCCTATGCGCATCCGCAGCAACGCGTCACCGAGCGCATCGACCGCACGTTCATGACGAAGGTGCGCACATTATTGAACCAGTCAAGGCTCCCTTTCACCTACTAGCGGTCCGCGATGCAGCACGCCATGCGGGTGCACAACTTACTCTCCACCACAACCGTCATCGACAACATATGGCTGCACGTAAAGTTTGATCATCCTTGACCTCCTCTGCAACAAAGTAATACATAGGCGCGACGCCATCTTCTACGAGCGACCGCTCAGTACTGCGCGTACGAGCAGGCGGACGCAAACTAGGTTTATGCAAACGACGGGCGGAGCTATGCTACCCCCAAATACGAAGGTGATGTGGCTATCTTGGACCTGAACAACACCATCGATCAGAATTGCGAACAAACCGTAGCGAGATGAGAATTGCGAACAAACCGTAGCGAGATGAGAATTGCGAACAAACCGTAGCGAGATGAGAATTGCGAATAAGCTGGGATCGTCAACCGCACCAAACACATCACGCTGCGGTACTTCTTCGTCAAGGACAAAGTTGACAAGTACAGGGTCGACTTTCTTACGAAGCGACTGCCCCGTCAACAGTATCAGCACTATTCCGTACTGAGCGAAGTAGTCAAGCGGGTTAAGACTTGTTATGACCAGGAATGAAGGGGGGTGTTACTGTCAAATGCTTATATCTTCTAGATATTAATTATTTTAGGCTACAGTAAGTTGCCCTCTAAAGGGTACAACACTTTCTAGGTCGACGCTTGTATCTCCTTGTTTCCCCTTAGCACAATTCTCTCGACACTTCCTAGCTAGTTGTAAGATGGTATTAGAATAGGTAATTATAGATGGTAATACCAGAAGCTTGAAAGACCTACTCGCCATAGTCCACTTCTCTGCCTACCGGTCACTCGCTCTCAGCTCCACCTTCGGACAAGTTTGTAGAGCCGAGTGGCCCGTATCCAGAGCTTGTGGGCTGCCTCATGTACCTGATGACCTGCACTCGACCTAACCTTGCCTATCCTCTTAACATCCTGGCACGCTACGTTGCGCCCGGGAGACACCGACCAGAGCACTGGAAGGCCGCTAAGCGGGTGTTGCGCTACTTGTGCCGTACGTCGGGCATGGGGCTCGTGCTTGGAGGACGGGGTCCTATTGTCCTCACTGGACACGCGAACGCTTCTTGGGTTGATGACTTGGCTACGTAGCGGTCGTCACAGGGTTACACTTTCAGCCTTGGCTCCGGCTCTGTTTCTTGGCGGTCTACCCACTCGTCTTCTGTTCTCAGTTCCAGTTGTGAGGCTGAGATCTACGCAGGGGCCATGGCTGCACAGGAGTTCCGCTGGCTCACCACCTGCTTACCGACTTGGGAGAGCCGCCTCGTTCTCCTCCAGTTCTGTACGTCGACAACAAGGCCATGATTGCCTTGTGTCAGGAGCACAGACTGGAGCACAGAACGAAGCACATTGCTCTGCGTTACTTCCTTGCTCGACAGTTGCAGCAGTATGGTCAGCTTCGTCTTGCTTACGTGGCCTCTCGGGCAAACAGTGCTGATATCTTTACCAAGGCACTTCAGCCTTGTAATCATCAGCGTTTGTGTACTGTTTTAGGCATTGTGCCTACTGGGCCTCACTTGCTCACTTATTGACTTTACTTGTACTGTGATCTATACACTTATACCTTCATGGTTACACTTGCTATGTTTTGATCACTATACTGCTTGTTTTTATTATATAACTTTTCATATCAACTGGCCTTGTGGCGATTTGTTTGTGCTCAGAGTTTGTGGTGACTTCTGTGAAGAAGTGAACGTGAAAATGAATGAACTATGAATGAAGTGGGTACAAGTACTAACCCTAATTGGGTTGTACCCC